CCTCTCCTCTCTCCTTCTTCCTCTCCTCCTTTCTTCCTCTCCTTCTTCTTTCTTCTTCTCTTCTTCTTCTTCTTCTTTCTTCTTCTTCTTCCTCCTCCTCCTCCTCCTCCTCCTCCTCTTTATTATTATTATTATTTGGAGACAGAGTCTCCCTCTGTCATCCAGGCTGGAGTGTTATTATTATTATTATTATTATTATTTGGAGACAGAGTCTCCCTCTGTCGTCCAGGCTGGAGTGCAGCAGTGTGGTCTTGGCTCACTGCAACCTCAGCCTCTAGGGTTAGAGTGATCCTCCTGCCTCAGCCTCCTGAGTAGCTAGGATTATGGGCACATACCACCAAGCCTGGCTAATTTTTGTATTTTTAGTAGAGACAGGGTTTTGGCATGTTGGCCAGGCTGGTCTGGAATTCCTGACCTCAGATGATCTACCCACCTTGGCCTCCCAAAGTGCTGGGATTACAGGCGTGAGCCACTGCTCCCAGTCAACCTTCTAATTATTTTTAAGTCTGCCCTCACCACGCTGTTATTACTAGTTTCCTGCCCTAGTTCGAACTCCCATCATCTTTATTCTAGATTATTGTGAAACATATTAACTGGCCTTCCTGCCTTCTGTCTTTCTGGCTTAAGTCCATCCTTACATGGATGTCCGTAGTACTCTTCAAATTGTCAAGCCCTTCAGTAGTTCCTAGTTACGAGAGGATAAAGATTCTTAACCTATCTAGAAAACTGTCTCTGATCAGCTCTCTACTGACTTCTCTAGATTCCATCCTATTTCTCCTCTTCCTACTTAGGCTTTTCTCCTGCCTCTGTATTGGTTATCTATTGCTGCATAACAAATTTTTAAACGTTATAAATTCCATGACCTGCCAAAATAGTGATATAGGCGTTAAGAAGAAATTATTTAGGCAGATAGTGAGGGTACAGGAGTCCTCGGTAAGGTTTTCCTTTTAATGAAAAGCAGACCCCAAATCATTTTCTTTTCTAACAAAGAGCAGCCTGCCTATAAAATTGAGCTACACACATAGACAAGTAAGCTGGAAGCTTGCACGAGTGAATGCCGGCAGTTGTGCCAATAGGAAAAGGCTACCTGGACTAGGCATGTTCAAAATGGCAGCTCCATCTTCCCTTTTCCTTTCCAACCACGTCTGCAGTAGGGAGCAGACAGTAGTGCTTTCTAAGTGGAAAGCCCATTTGCACAATAAGGTTAGGGTGAGGTGGCCAGCTTCCCTGCATGCTATGTAAACGTTAAACTGGTCCAGCCAATCTGTGAGCCAATCTATGTCTATATAAATCAGATACCACCCCCTCAAGCCTGTCTATAAAATCCGGTGCACTCCACGGAGGGCCAGATTTCCCATTCAGATGCCCCTCTCTCTTGCAAGAGAGAGCTGTTCTCCTTTTTCTTTTGCCTATTAAACCTCCACTCCTAAACTCACTCCTTGTGCGTGTCCATGTCCTTAATCTTGGTGTGAGATGGCAAACCCCAGGTATTTACCCCAGACAGTGATGTCACCTCAATAGGAGACACAGCAGCACATGAGGGAAGTATAGAGGGATTCATTTAATTAGGAGTTAAAGTCAAGGTTGGAAACTAGTTTGGAGGTTTGCAGTAGTCCAGACAAGTGAAAATAAAGAACTGGATTAGGCCATGAGAGTAGAGGTGAAGGTGAATTTGAAAAACATCTAGGAGATTCAGTTGGTGATTGATTGGCTGTGGGAATGCAGGGCCAGAGAAAAATGGATAGATCAAGAATACATCCTGGATTTCTGGCTTTAGTACTTGAGTTGATGGGAGTATTTCCAACCAAGATGAAAAATAGGGAAGTAAGGACAAGTTTAGGGAAGGAGATAATAAGTTTAGTTTTTGAGTTCTTCTTAACTACTTTTGATTTTTGTCAATATAATAAAAGTAATGTTATAATTCTCATGATAAAACATTTTAGTCTTCTTCTCCACCCCTCCCCATCCTTCTCTTATCTCTGAGACCTCCTCTCATACTTCTACCTATTTGTTCTAACCTTTAATTCCAAATTTCCAAGTAATCTGCCTAATGTGTTTCTTGATTTATTGGTTTTAGAGTTACACTTTTTATTTGAGGTATTTTCTATTGACTTATTCAACAAGGTGAGAATTTACCACGTTTACATACCTTACCTCCTGACTTTCCTACCCTCCAACCTGTCCAAATGGTGATATAATTTTTCTCTTTTGCTAAATCAATATCTAATGTTTACCTTATTATGTAAATATTGCTCACTGCTGAGCCAAGTAGTATACTATAATTGCAATCCATGTCTTGTATAGTTTTATTTTCATCAACTTAAAAATTGCCTCTTTGCATTGTTCTGTTTTCTCTATCACTCTTATAACTTCTGTCCAAACTTGCTGACAGAACTGTAATATCCTTATTGATATGATTTTTTACAAAAGCTCATGCAGTAGTCAGTTATAGATACATTTCTTCCTTGAGGACATCTCATGTGGACCCCCCCTCTGTCTTACTGCTCCATTATGCACTGGTGGCTCTTTAGATATAACTGTTATTCTGTGATTTCACTTCCCCTCTTCAGTCCTAGTTCCCCTGTTACGGGGCTTCCATGTCTTCCTCTTTCTTGGTTTACATCCTTGCTTTGGTGGACCACATTTGCCAGTAGCTTTCTGAGAAGTGGTATATGAAAAACATTTAAAAAAAAAAAAAAAAACTGGCTGGTTCCCAAGCTGTATATTAGGTGAAAAAAAATTAAATTAAAAATCAAAATCAAAATCTAGCTGGGTGTGGTAGCTCACACCTGTAATAGCAGCACTCTGGGAGGCTAAGGTGGGAGGATTGCTTGAGCCCACAAGCTAGAAGCTGAAGTGAGCTGTGATTGCAGCATTATACTGCCACTGCAGCCTAGGTGACAGACTGAGACCCTATCTCTAAAAAAATAAAAATAAACAAATACATAAATAAATCTGATATATTTCTGAATATTTATTTAATTCTCATGATTGATAGAGGCTGGGCGTGGTGGCTCATGCCTATAATCCCAGCACTTTGGGAGGCTGAGGTGGGTGGATCACAAAGTCAGGAGTTCGAGATCAGCCTGACCAACATGGTGAAACCCCGTCTCTACTAAAAATACAAAAAAATTAGTTGGGCATGGTGGCATGCACCTGTAATCCCAGCTACTCAGGAGGCTGAGGCAGGAGAATAGCTTGAACATGGGAGGTAGAGGTTGTGGTGAGCCGAGATCGCGCCACTGCACTCCAGCCTGGGTGACAGAGCAAGACTCCGTCTCAAAAAAAAAAACCACAATAAACAAAAAATTAATGCAATTTTGGCTCTTGATTCTTTTTATGTGATACCATTCTCTTTCTCTCTTCTTCTCTGGAAAGTTTCTAATAGTCACTTTATTTCTGAAATGTGTTCTTCATCTTTTCATTTCTTGATCCAGGAACTTGATGGTTCCTTTAAATCTGAAAAATCATATCTATACCTCTGCAGATATTTTTGCACTATTTCTTTGATAATTTCTTACCCTGATTTTTTTTTTTTTTTTTTCTGAGACAAGGTCTCTCTCTGTCATCTAGGCTGGAGTGCAGTGGTATGATCATGGCTCACTGGAGCCTTGACCTCCTGGGGCCCAAGTGATCCTCCCACTTCAGCTCCCCAAGTAACTGGGATCACAGGTGTGTGCCACCATGTCTGGCTAATTTTGTAGACTTTTTTTTGTAGAAATGAAATTTCATTATGTTGCCTAGGCTGGTCTCGAACTTCTGGGCTCAAGCTATCTTTCTGCCTTGGTCTCCCAAAGTTCTGGGATTACAGGCATGAGCCACCTGATCTCCCCTGAATTTTATCTGCCATCTTTTTCTGGAACTTCCATTAGTCAGATATTGATCTTCTGGAACCAATCTTCTAATTTCCTTATCTTTTTTCTCCCTATTTTTAAAAGTTCTATTATCTTTCAATTATATTTTCCGTGAGATTTCTATAACTTAATTGCACTGTCCTTTTATCAAATTCTTAAGATTTCTACTATTGTATTTTTTAATTTTCAGAAGCATGTTCTTATTTTTTATTCTGTTGTTTAATGAATGAAATATCTTCTCTTATCTCCTTGAAGACATTTTGATTTTTGGAGAGTTATTCTGCTTCATATATTGCTATTTCTTGTGAGTTTTTGTTTTTGTGCCATTTCTTTTGGATTTTCTACCAAGCTGGAGGCTTTCCTCAAATACCCAATGGTTCCTTGAAGTCTATTTACGTATTAAGTGTGAGATACTAAATTGGTGGTTGGACACTGTGTCAAAGGGATTTGTCAGCAGTTCGCTGGCTCCCTGCAGCTGATTGGTGGATTCAACACGCTTCGTTAGAGGATCCTACATGTCATTATGTGTATATTCTTTCTCTAAGAGAATGCAGTTGTTGCAAAAAAGAATCCTTCAGTCTCCTGCAGAAGCTGAAGAATGAAGGTATAGAGTCCTTACTGCCAACATTCTTACTGCTGAGTGTTCAAGGGGCTGAGGTCTGTCAGTGTGTAGGCTTTCTGAGTTTTCAGTAGAGTATCTCCTCCCCAAATTTCACTGTTTCTTATATTCCCAAGTCTAGAGTGTCTCTACTGAAAATGTCCAAATAATGAATTTTCTACAGAATAAGGCTCTCAACTCCTCTTTTAGATTGGGGAGGGACTTGAGGATCTAAATGTTGTTATAGACTCATATCAATTCTTCCATTTTCAGCCCTATACTTCGCTTTTGCCTTCTATAGTACTTACCAGTTTTGACCCTTTCTGTAGTTGTATGGTTTGAATTACCTTGTTTCTCGTTTATATTCTGTGTTCATTCTCTGCAAACTATCTGTTCACTTTCCATCTAACAACAAAAATTTGATCTGCCCCATTTACTATTGTCTCTCCTATTTTCTTGGGTATTGGGATTTATAACTTTAAAAAATGTCTTCACTCTCATTTTAGAGAGGTTTCATGAGGGGACAGAAATAAATGTTTCTCACTCACCATTTTTCAGCAGGATTAAATGCCATTTTGACATGTTGAGTTTCATATACCCGTGGGGCATCAGGTAAAAATGTTAGGCAGGCGGTTGGATAGATGAGGCGGAAGCTTTTGAGAGGCACTCTCATTTTGAGTGGTGTCCACAGAAAGTGCTGGTTAAAGTGATGAGACCACTCTTTAGTGTGTGAAAGCATCATAAGCTGTGGACCAAGGATAGAATCCTAGAAGAATTTTAGAACCATGAAAACACAAATTACAGAAGGCAAGGCATCAATAAATTTACCAAAGGGGCAGTAGCAGCGTGTCAGAAAAGTCAATAAAGATAAAGACAGATTTTTCTTTTGAATTTAGAAATATGGAGATTATTAATGATTTTAGCAAGATGATATGCACAGAAGTCAGAATACATTAAGTAAGAATGAAAACAGGGTTTTATTTATTTATTATATTTTTGCTTTCAGAAACTGCTGACAGAAGCAACAATAGAGGGTGTTCAGTGGCTTATGAAGCAGATGAACCAGTTTGTGGGCTTTTTGTGTTGTCTCCACCTTAGATACTATACGCAGTGGATTTTCAAATACCTAATGAGGGAATGCAGTGACTTTGTTGCCCTTGGATTAGCTGTGTGAAGACATTTTGGCTGGTTTGATCTGAGAGGTCATTTCTCATGCTCCACTTGCTCTTTTTCAGGGTTGGTGTGAGCAAGCCAGACTGTGTGGGGCTTTAAATTCTGGGTATGGCTGATGAAGCTGATACTGTTAACCACGCCTTTCTTCAATTGTATGTATGATGAAATGTTTGCAGGAAAAGAAAGACAGTGGAGTGTAGGTGTTACACTAGAATAAAACCTAAATTCCATTTTTGAGGTCTCTGAGAGAGCCCCAAACACAGCACTTTGTCTTTCTCTCCTGAGTTCTGAAGAAATTGAGAAATAAGACAGAAGAGCAAGGCGGCAGGACAGCAAAACATCAGCTTGATTAACGAGGGAGGCTGGGCTGGAATGGCACTTTGCCTTTTGGGCAAATGGGTTTCCTATGACTGATGCCCGAGTTGAGCAGACTTGCCCAGCAATCCTCAGGTTCACACAGGGTGGAGAGAGAAAAGCACCACTCCGTGTGGGGATGGGGAGTGAGGTGAGCCCAACATGACCAGTTTATCCAAATGTACCCGTAAGGTGAACCTTTCTGCCTGACATCCTGCCGCTACAGAGGGAAGAAGGCAGCAGCAAGGGGCCAGCAGTGTTACACTGTTGGACTTCCTGGACACTGATAGAGATATCTAGAGCTGGGAAGAAGCAGTGCCCTAAAACACAGGTTGGCTTTCAATACCCGGCACGAACCTATACCTGATCCCCCTTCGAACCACTCCAACCACTGCTCACTGGCTCCCACCATGGGCTTCCATCTGCACTGTGTCCTGTTAATGGCCTTTGCGGTCACTGTTCTCCTGCCAGGAACTCTCTTCTTCCTAGACACTGTCTCATGCCCTCAGATCTGCTCAGGTGTCACCTACTCAGGGGGGCCTTCCCTGACCACCTCTCTCAAGTTAGTGCCACTGCTTGAACCCCTTTCCTTTCTATTCCATTTATCCTGCTTTGATTTTCTTAAAAGCCTCGCCTGTCTCTCTTCCTGAGTTCACGAAGGCAGATGCTTTCTGTTTTATTCATTGTATGAGCTAAGGATATATTTATGCAGTGAATGAGTGGATGGTCCAGTCAACTTGGAGTCCACTCCAGCTCAGCTGCTGCCTGGAGTATTATCACTTGCAAAGTGGCCCAGTCAGCATGGGCCTCTATTGAAGTACTACACTAACTCTTTTCAAGAGTGGAGGTGGGCCAAGGCACAGTGGCTCATGCCTGTAGTTCCAGCACTTTGGGAGGCCAAGGCAGGCGAATCGCTTGAGCCGAAGAGCTCGAGACCAGCCTGGCCAACATGGCGAAATTCCATCTCTATGAAAAGTACAAAAATTAGCTGGGTGTGGTGGCATGCACCAGTGGTCCTAGCTACTCTGGAGGATGAGGTGGTAGGATCACTTATGCCCAGGAGGCAGAAATTCCTGTGAGCCAAGATTGTTGGTGACAGAGTGAGACCCTGTCTCAAAAAAACAAAACAAAAAAAAAACAAAGAGTAGAGGTGAAGCTTGAATGAGATAACATATGGAAAAGAGCTGAGAAATGTACTAGAATCGTGGAAGCGAATCCTATAGAGTGGTTACTGCTACAAACAGTAGTCGCTCTTTTAGAATCAGGGGGAAGTTTCCCCTGTCACTTCAGGGATCGGCAGTTAAACTGATGACATTGCCAAATTTACTAGGATTATCCTCATATAAAATGTTCTCATTCATTGTTCCCAATCTTAGCCTTGTATTTGCCACCCTGTGTATCCTGATGTTTTTATTTGAAAATTCTAATTATAGTAGGCAATAAAAAAGAGGCGATTCTTTTTTTTTTTTTTTTTTTTTGAGACGGAGTCTTGCTCTGTCGCCCAGACTGGAATGCAGTGACGCGATCTCGGCTGACTGCAACCTCTGCTTCCTGGGTTCACACCGTTCAAAAGGAGGCAATTCTAAGAAGAACAGGGCTACACTGTCTTAAGCAAAACTAACAAAAATTTCTTAGTGGAAGACACTGACTTTGCCATGAGATTTTAATGTCCCAAAGAGTAGATAGCTTCACTTATCCCCAAAAAGTAATTTTTGAAACTGAAAGAAGTACACTAGAAATCCATTATGAAGCAATCTGTGGACCTGCGATTTTCACATCTTTACAGATAAATATGCCTTTCAGTCACTTGCAGTTTCAGTACCTATAAATCCTGCAAATGGACAAAACAATCCAGTTTATTCAGAATTCTGCTTTTATCAACAGTTGCATTGAGGCAGATTTTGTTATATTCTGTCATTTATATAGTGGTATATGGAAAATACATGGACTTTGGCATCACCTAGATACGGCTTCAAATTCCAGCTTTGCTACTCAATAGCTAAGGGGGCATGAGAAAATTATTTCACATGGGACTGAGTTTACTCATATGGATATGTCTTATATAAAGCTCTGACCTTAGGGCTTGTCTAAGAATAGTATCACAGTCAAGAAAAGGTGTGCTGTCTGTTAGTGAACGGCTATGAGGTGTTCTGTAACAAGGGAGCCTCCTGGGTTCAAGCGATTCTCCTGCATCAGCCTCATTAATTGTATTTAACTCAGACTTTCCCAAATGTTTTTCCTTATAAAATCTATTAATATGTTGCAGAATTGGTATTCCATAAAGGACCCCGTGGGAGATCCTGGCTTGCATAATGCCAGACATATTTGATGTAAGAAATCAATTTTGCTTCCTTTTTCCAGCTTAGTGTTGGCCAGTCAGAATTTTCACTGGATGCCTACCACGCAACTTAAAGTAGATCTCTTGGGGTTTTGTGCCTTCACATCCTCCATCCCAACTCCTTCCATAGTCTTCCTGATCTCCAGTCATGGCCCCACTATTCATGTATTAGTTTCCTAGGGATACTATAACAAAACACCACCATCTGGATAACATAAAACAACAGAAATGTATTGTCTCACAGTTCTGAATGCTAGAGTCCAAAATTAATGTGTCAGCAGGACCATGCTCCCCCTGAAACCTGTAGCCTACAATCTTCCCTGCCTCTTCTAGCTGCTGGTGTTTGCCAGCAATCCTGGCGCTCCTTGGCTTGTAGATATATCACTTAGTGTCTGTGTCTGTTGTCGCATGGCATTCTCCTCTGTAGTTCCCTCCTCTTATTATAAGGACACCAGTTTTATTGGATGAAAGCCCTGCCCTCACCCAACTCCAGTATAATCTCATTGTAGCTAATTATTAGGTTGGTGTAAAATTACTTTTAATTAAAAGTAGTGTGGCTCACGCCTGTAATCCCAGCACTTTGGGAGGCCGAGGTGGGCAGATCACGAGGTCAGGAGATCGAGACCATCCTGGCTAACATGGTGAAACCCCATCTCTACTGAAATACAAAACATTAGCCGGAGTGGTAGCACACACCTGTAGTCCCAGCTACTTGGGAGGCTAAGGCAGGGGAATCGTTTGAACCCAGGGGGCAGAGGTTGCAGTGAGCCGAGATTGCGCCAGGGAAATCGCTTGAACCCAGGAGGCAGAGGTCATAGTGAGCCGAGATTATGCCACTGCACTCCACCCTGGCGACCAAGAGAGACTTGTCTCCAAAAAAAAAGTAATGGCGAAAACCACAATTGCTTTTGCATCAACCTTACTACATCTGCAAAGACCCTGTTTTCAAATAAGGTCATATTCTGAGGTACTAGGAGTTATGACTTCAAAATATCTTCAACTCAGCGCATAATAATCCTTGGACTTACTCTGGGTAGAAAACAGGTGCCATTCTTGTACTTCTTGTCTTTCCCTCAGCCATTATATCTGGTCTATGAGTAAATACTCGTAGATCTGCCTTCAAAATGTAGCTGACCATTTCTCATTACCTTCCCTGCTACTCTTTGACCCCAGCCTTTATAATAGCTCCTGGGTTATAACAGCAACCTCTTATTAGGTATCCTGGTTCCATCCTGATTCTCCTTAAGTCTACTTGTTAGATAGCAACCACAGCAATCATGTCACAGTGTAAATCAGATGATATTCCTCCCTTGCTGTAAACTCTCCAGTGGTCTCCCATTATTGTTAGAATAAAATGCTAACACAGGTGAAGGAAGATAAGACTCTCCGAGCTCTGCTTTATCTCTCCAACCTTATTGTGTACCACTCCCTCCCCTATTGACTGTGCCCACCAACCCACAGTAAGCACCTTGTTTGCACTGCAGAGCCTTTGCACTGTTTCCTCAAGGCCGGCTCCCTGTCATTCTCAGATCATCTACTCGGAGATGTGTTTCCCATTCATTGTTAGCTGAAACACTTGCACCCCATCTGGCAGAGAGCAGAGAAATTTTTTTTCTTTTTTTTTCCTTTTTTTTTTAATTAAATTTTTAATTATTTAATTAATTATTTATTTATTTATTTTTTTGAGAAAGTCTTACTCTGTTGCCCAGGCTGGAGTGCAGTGGTGCAATCTCAGCTCATGCACCCTCCACCTCCTGGGTTCAAGCGATTCTCCTGCCTCAACCTCATGAGTAGCTGGGATTACAGGTGCGTGCCACCATGCCCGGCTAATTTTTGTATTTTTAGTAGAGACGGGGTTTCTCCATGTTGGCCAGGCTGGTCTTAAACTCTTGACCTCGAGTGATCTGCCTGCCTTGGCCTCCCAAAGTGCTGGAATTACAGGCATCAGTCATCATGCCGGGCCCAGAGAGAGTTTTGTCACCAGTCATGAAGCGAAGCTCTCAGGAAACAAAAGGAGAGAAACAGGAATGAGATAGCTGTCCCTGGGAGGGAAAGGATCAATAACTAATGGGTACCCCCAAATCAGATTTACATAAGAGTCACAATGCAAACAAATGATTTTTCTTCTGCTAATCTGAATTTGGAAAGGAAATTCTTACCTAGAAGAAGCGATCCCAGAGAGCTGATCTTGGTTAAAAAACAAAAATCAAAAAAACAACTCTTAACCTTTTGTTGTTTTTTTATTAGTTGTCCCAGGATCTTATCTGCAGGTCCTGGAACTAGTGGGGTGTCTCAGCCACCCCATGTTGGCTGCCAGAAAGTGTAAGGGGAGAAAAAGAATATCTTTTCCTCATCCATCACAAGGTTCATGGCTGAGACCCCTATAACAAATAAAAAGAAAAAAAAAATAGATTAAATGAAAAAAGTATAAAAGTTGTATTTAATATAAGTTTTCAGTGACACAGAAACCTTTAGAAAACGAAGCCCCAAGGACCCAGGGAAAACCATATGTGTTTAGGGACAGTTGTGCAGAAGTGTAATTGAAGGACAAAAGAATGTGATCTAATAGTAATAAACCGGGGAACTCAGCAAGGCCTATTTGTTCAGATTCTTTTCAACCTCGGTGTGACATTCCTTCCCTCTGGGTACAGGGCAGGACCCCTCCGGAATGAGGGTCTTATGACCTACTTTCAGGGGAAGTAGGTCAGAGAATTCTTTCATGGCCAGCTCTCAGGAGAAAAAGGTGGGAAAGGGTCAGAGAGCAGCCTTCCTGCCTCTGCTGTTTTTTCAATTTCCTGCTGTTTAAAATACTCACTATGCCAAGGTGCCATTATTTTGGGGTATCATGTTCTGAGCCAGGCCTGACACCTCAGTTGCTTGCTTTACCACTTACTAACTGTGAACCTGAGCAAACCACTTAAATTCTCTGAGGATCAGTATCTCGTCTATAAAAAGAGATGACAAGGTCAGGTTGTTTCTAACCCTTACCCACCTGGTTAGAAATAAAAAATATAAAGCAATCAGCACAGTTTCTTGTACATAGTAAGCGTTCAGTAATTGGTAGCTATTAACTGATGTTATTATCATGATGGTGCCTTTAGTCACAGGCATGGCCCTTCTATTTCAAAACTGTTGAAAAACATTTTGGGATAATGTTTACATTTTACTTTCCACCACGTGCCCAGTTAAATTTCCCTTCTGGTTGGAGTGGGATTTCAAGGTAAAGCTCCAGACTGTGGTGTCAGATTATATTATTTTCTCCTCTTCCTGATTTTTCTCATTCTCTCCCTGCCACACACCTCTAGTTTCCTTTTCCTGCACATCCAAGGATATGGTGGCAGAGACAGGGATGACTAATTCGTTAGAGAGATTAGACGCCACCATCTGATGCCAGAGAGGAACCTATGAAAAGGAGATAGGCGTGTCTCAGTGCTACTTCAGCAAAAGGTTGCCCTTTACCTTACATGCCATGACTGTGTCCTCCCTGGGAAAAGAGTACTTCAAGAGTGTTGTCCAGGATGTCAACATAGTGAGACTCTGTCCCTTAAATAAATAAATAAACTCCTGGGCTCAAGGGATCCTCCCGCCTTGGCCTCCCAAAGTGCCAGGATTACAGGCGTGAGCCAATGTGCCGGGCAATAACTATTTTAATTGCAGCTACAATGGTTATTATATGAAAGATATGTATCCTTTGACTGGAGTAATCGATAGTGTAAAGTGGGGAAGTGGAAATGAGTGAAGGGGAGAACCTAAAACTGGTTTAAATACCTGCTCTTTGTTTCTTTGTCCTCATCCTGCAGGTTTTGTTTTTGATTCGTTTTTCTTTGGCAAAACACACACCTCCAGTGGCATTTTCAGGTTTCTTTTCTTGAGGTCTTGCAAGTCTGATTATGTTACTGGTTGATCAGGTAGGGGAGAACTGGCCAGGATTTTCCCTTTTTGTCTCTTCTGCTGGTCAGGTAGATTGGAATTGGAGTGTGAGCTAATGGAAAATAGCGTCTAGCTCATTTCACCAATAATGAAGATGAGCCCAGTGTGTGCAGGTAAATGTTTAACAATCGGCTGTCTGAGAAAAAGAAGCCCTGATTTCTGGTGTTTGCTGGTTACTGTGGTATAAATACTCCTACCATAGTTTATTTCAGGCTACCAACAGGATTACTGAACACATAGTTGGAAAAAGATGCCCAGAAGCAAACCATCATATGTATAAGCTGTCTACCACACAGATACAAAAATCATAACTCTAGATCACAGGTAATAGTAAAATGTAGTAAAATCATTAAGAAATGATAAGTTTGAGTACTTTGAACTTATGTTTTAAAATGTAACTTCTTCAATGACAGTTTAATTGTTAACGGTGGCTCTGTTGAACAACTGACTCTCAGTATTCCTGAAAATTTAACCATCAGGTCTCTTGCGCTGGCTCTAGCACATCAGGTGGGACCCAGAGAAGTTACTATCTTACACAAGGTCCTCGGATGAGTCACGGCAGGACCTGGATTATTACAGAGTTGTTTCTAAAAACCAGACTTCTCTAGACAGATTTACTTATCAGTATTTCTTTTTATTCATTTGTTTATTTCTTTACTACATCCTTTAACAATCCATAAAAGGGATTTAGGACTATTACAGGCTGTTATTATCTACTGAGACAGTAAGAGTCAGAATATTTGGATATATCTGGAACAAAGGTGGGAGAGTGGGCCGGGGGCAATGGCTTACGCCTGTAATCCCAGCACTTTGGGAGGCCGAGGCGGTTGGATCACCTGAGGTCAGGAACCTGAGGTCAGCTTGGTCAACGTAGTGAAACCCCGTCTCTACTAAAAATACAAAAATTAGCTGGGTGTGGTGGTGGGTGCCTGTCATCCCAGCTACTTGGGGGGCTGAGGCAAGAGAATCCCTTGAACCCAGGAGGTGGAGGTTGTAGTGAGCTGAGTTCGCACCACTGCACTCCAGTCTGGGTGACAGAGCGAGACTCTATCTCAAAAAGGAAAAAAAAAAAAAAAGATGGGAGAGTAGAAAGCAGATGAGATTTAGAGCTATAAGTAAATTCTCGCTTTCAGTCTTGGCCTTGTCATCTTGATCAAGTCAGTTACTCCCTGGTATAAGTTTTCTAATCTGAAGATGCAGGAATTGGACCACATGAACATTTAATATCTTGTAAGTCTAAAATGTGGTTCCTTATTTAGTTTCATCAATTCAGTAATATTTGCTTAGTACCAACTATATGCACTCTCATTATGAACTGTACTCCAGGCAGAATGAATTACAGATATGATAATAAATATTATTATAGCATCTCACATTTATGCAGAGCCTTCTGATTTACCGAAGAGAAAATTTACTGTGAGTCTCTGGGATTCTGTGGCTTTAGGAGATCAGGACACATCTTAACAGAATGTTAGAGAAAGAAAAAGCTATTCTAGAAGTGCAAATAGAACCTTATTCCTAGGAAACAGAAGAGGTCATACCCAGGTAGTAATAAGGAATAAGGAATAAGCACTTTTTCTGTCATGTCTAGCAGTTGCTTCACTTTGTTTTTTTAAAGAAGCAACAAAATTATTTTTTTCTGAGTACAAAATTTTTGTAGAAAATTTAGAAATTATTAAGAAGTATTAAATAAGGAAAAAACCATATATCCAATCTAATATTCTGCTTTTCTTTACCTAATAATATTATATTTTTCAAAACATTCTTAGTAGAATCATTTTAATTGCTGTATGTATAATAATTTTATCTTTTTGGTGTATAGTAACTTACTTATCTGATGTCTTATTGTTGGAAATTTTATTTATTGACAATTTTTTTTATTCTAAAGAACACTGTGGATAAATAGCTTTGTTCCATATCAAAAATTATATATTGGACACATGATTTTCAACTTTAATATTTAAGGTTTAGTAAGACAGTTTTAGCAAATTATATACTTTTGACCTTTAGATTCTTTGATTCTATCAATATTGTATTGTGTTTACCTAGATTTTGTTCTGTTTCTAAACATTTATTAAGAAGAACATTTTGTTGGAATTCTTCAATATGATATGTTTGAACTGGAAATAGCACCACTGTTTTCATATTATTTCAAGTAGGTATGATAAAGTGTAGGGTTAACAGTTTTCTTTTTCAACTTTCTGTGGGAGATATCCTCTATCTAGTATCAGGTTTCTTGGTTTAGAAATTGCTCAATAAATATTCAATAAATAAAAAGATTCATGCTAATTTAGGATAAGCAAAAACACACGAGAGGGTGTTTAAAAAACCCACTTCTCCATTTATGATAATAGCTTTCATTCTTACAAGGAGAGATAACAGCTAAGCACAGTTCAGGAATTCTGACTGTTGAATGAGAACTGTGAAATGAAATATGTCGGCGCTTTAATTCACCTACATGGGAAACCATGACTCAGATAGTTATTTGATTAAATGTTAATGAGATCTACTAAATTGACCCAGTTCTTACTTTTATGTATTAGATTTATATCAATTAAAACAGGACCAGTTTTACCTCTTTTCATTCTTTAACATCTTTGAGTCAACATCTGCTTACAAGGGAAGTGCTGTAACTACCCTGGTTATTTAAATATTAATGGCTTCCATTAAAGGGGGCTGGGGATTGGCAGCAGGAAGATTGAGAAATTAGACGGCATGATTGGTTTCTTGTTTCTGTCCCCAGGAAAAAAAAAACAAAAAACAAAAAAACCTCCTACTGGAAGAGCTTCTTCCATTATTTTTTTAATATTGCATATATATATATATATTTTTCTGAACCAGTTAGAGAGTAAGATTGTTGATTTCAGGCATCCCTTGAAAGTAGCTATGCTATAAAAGCATCAGTGTAAACAAGTTCACATAATTTTAAAAAATGTTTTAACATTGCCATAGAGGTCATTACCCTGGGGCTTCTTGGGAACCTAATTTCAGTTCCTAAATTCATTTTGTTGTTTATTATAGTCAGTAATAGGCAAAAGCATTTTTTAGCTCCATACTGGATTCGGCTGGTCTTATTTACATTAAGTGTGGAGAACTCTAGTAAGTTAACCCTGAGAGACATGACAAGGGTTATATATTCAATCATGTTATAATTATAAACCTTTATCTTACTGGGGAAATGTGCCTGAAAAGCTTTTAAAATTTGCTATAATCAATATTTTCATGTTATGCCAAATTGGGTTGTAATAAGCATGTGGTTAAAAGATTTTTACACATTTTGTATTTTTAAGATGTTCTAATGGCTTGGCATTTTAAAGCACTGAACCAAAGCAGGCATTGTATTTGCATAATTATGTATCTCTTTTTGCATCCAGAAATGTGTGTGGAGTACTCATTCATTTCGTGTATTTGATTTAGAATTTACAGCTAAGAACATAGATCATGCTTAAATAGCAGGAGTGCAGAGTCATGTAACGGCCCTGGTGTGCTTGTCGTAATTCCCTACTTTGCAAGGTCAGGATTAGAGCGAGACAAGAGAGGCACTGCCTCAGGTGTAAAACTTAATAAAGTGTCAAAAAAAACTCAAGATCAGTGATATTTTAAGGTAATAGTTAAAAAACTATATAATACAGAGAAAAATTAATGATAACAAAAATGGTCAACATTTTAGATCAAGATGAGCTCTGACCCTACATCTGTACCTCCCTCATTTCTCCCTAGTCCTGGCCTTGAGTGGGGTCAAGTCCTGGTTTCTCTACTTTCATGTCCTTGCATGAGACACTCTTTTGATTCAAGTTTTCCTTATCTGAATTTGGTGATAATAATCCTCACTCTCCTGGTGACAAGGATTTTTTCCTTGGCCAAATTTTAGTCAGGCTTCTGAATCTTCTGCTTGGCCCATTTGTGCACTTCCTTGTAAAATCCAGTTTTAGCAAAGGACACTGGTAAGTCGTTTTACCAAGAACCACCAGCATCAACATCCGATCACCTCAACATTTGACCAGGTTTCTCATCCTGCACCATCCCCCAGGTGATGTCTGATCACCCTGGCCTGTCTTCAGCGAGAATCCTATTAGGTTTAGCCAGATCCACCTTACCCCAAGGCTTCCTTTGAGTAATTTTCCATCCACTGACCCCCACACTGCTCCTTAGCTATAAATTCCCACTGGCCCATGCTGCATTTGGAGTTGAGCCCAATCTCTCTCCCTTGCTGCAAGACTCTGTTGACTGCAAGGTCCCTGTGCCTATCATTATCCTAATAAAGTCTTTGTCTGCGTGTTTTAACAAATACCAATCATTTTTTTCTAACACTGGTGAAATTAGGAGATTCAAATCAGCTACAAATACATGGGAAAGCCCACTATATGTATAATTTACATATTGATGTACAAGTAAATCATTATACAATTTTATGCCATTACTATTATCATCTCAGATGAATATTCTAAGCAAACATCAGATTTGAAGATCTTTGGAAAGCTTTGTGCTAATGGTTTGGGGCCTAATGTCTTTACTTATCAGCTAGCAATAAGGGGAGGGACCTAAGGGTAGTTGTAGGACCCCCTCCCCCTTTCTTTCTTCCTTCCTGTTTTTGTTTTTGTTATTGTTGTTCTTTGATACAAACGGGGGGCTTATAAGAGATAGAGAACATAAGCAGAAATCCATTGCTTCTTTGAAATTTCCCTGCAAGGTGTGCAAGGATGCCTGAGGTCTCACCTTTGCTTAAGCTGTTTCCACCCACCCGTGATGCCTTTCCCATTTCTCCCACCTGTCTGAGAACCATTCACCTTTTGTCCACATCCAACTTGGGTAAGGCCTTTCTATGATCTTTCGACCTGAAATATGCTCTCAATCCTCTGCCCTTCTGTGGTGACATAGTGATTTCTACCACCCATTTATGGTCAGTTACAGAGTTCTTGTTGTTCTGAGGCTTTACTGAATCCTTCATTGAATTTACTTTCCAAACTGCATTTTAGAAAATGTCAGTGGTTCACTCCTATAATCCCAGCACTTTGGGAGGCTGAGATGGGAGGATTGCTTGAGCCCAGGAGGTCAAGGCAGCAGTGAGCCACGATTGTGCTACTGCACTCTAGCTTGAGCAACAGAGCAAGACTCTGTTAAAAAAAAAAAAAAAAAAAAAAATCAGTAATTTAAAAATTACTGACATTGTAAATCCCTTGAAGGATCTCCCATTAGCCTGTGAATTTAAGGGTAAGCAGGGATTGGGTGTGCTTATTTATGGTGCTATCCAAGGTCCTTGCAGAGGGCCTTTACACACAATAATGTTTTTAAGTGAATAAATGAATTTCTTGCATGTAAAAGGGCCAGGTAAATATTTACTCTTTTGATTCATTTTTGGAATGCTGTTTTTATCCTAGACCCTGAGAGATGGTTGGCGCCATGTGGAAGGTGATTGTTTCGCTGGTCCTGTTGGCGCCTGGCCCCTGTGATGGGCTGTTTCGCTCCCTATACAGAAGTGTTTCCATGCCACCTAAGGGAGACTCAGGACAGCCGTTGTTTCTCACCCCTTACATTGAAGCTGGGAAGATCCAAAAAGGTAAGTAAGTTTAATTAAATCAGAGAACCACTGGCATGAATTCAACAGTTTTTCTTTTTTTTTTTGAGACGAAGTCTCACTCTGTCACTAGGCTGGAGGGCAGTGGTGTGATCTCGGCTCACTGCAACCTCTGCCTCCCAAGTAGCTGGGAGGTTCAAGCAATTCTCCTGCCTCAGCCTCCCAAGTAGCTGGGATTGTAGACGCACGCTACCATGCCCAGCTAATTTTTGTATTTTTAGTAGAGATGGGGTTTCACCATATTGGCCAGGATGGTCTCGATCTCTTGACCTCATGATTTGCCCACCTCGGCCTCCCAAAGTGCTGGGATTACAGTTGTGAGCCACTGCACCTGGCCAATAGTTTTTCTTAAAACAACCCATAGGATGCAAAATGTATTTCAGTATTTTTACTCAGTTGTTTTACTTCAAATATATATGTTTGTTTGTTTGTTTGAGACAGAGTCTTTCTCTGTCACCCAGGCTGGAGTACAGTGGTGCATTCTCTGCTTACTGCAACCTCTGCCTCCCGGGCTCAAGTGATTCTCCTGCCTCAGCCTCCCGAGTTGCTGGGATTACAGGTGCCTACCACCATGCCTGGCTAATTTTTGTATTTTTAGTAGAGACGGGGTTTCACCATGTTGGCCAGGCTAGTTTTGAACTCCTAACCTTTGGTGATCCGCCCTCCTCAGCCTTCAGAAGTGCTGGGATTACAGGCATGAGCCACCGCACCTGGCCTATTTCAAATATTAATGACTTGATGTCATATGTTATCTGAGTTTTTAGCTAAAATGAGAATTAGCCAGGGCTGAATTACCTGCATGGTTGAGTTGCAGCATTTTATTTATAAGACTAGTAGAGTGCCTGTCCCCCAGTGAGCACTTAATGCTAATACTATCCTTAAAACTTACTATGAGTCAATCACTGGTTCCAAGCTTTCTGCATGAACTTATTTAAACATGTCAACATCCCAGGGAGGTGGACCCATTTTATACATGTGAAACCAACACAGAAAGAGATTGAGCTACTAGCCAGAGTTCACGCAGATACCAGCTGGTGTGTAGGCTTCATACTCAGACAGCCTCACTACAGCCTCCCTGCTGTGCCCCCTTATCCAGCAAGTCTAGGCCTTAGTTTTCTCATTAAGATAAGATGGAGATTTAACAACTTACCCAACTTGCAGAGATATTATGAAAATCCAACGAGATAAGGCACATGAAAATTTTTTGTACTCTATAAATTGTTCTCCAAATATGAGTGTTTGCAAATGGCTTTATTTAGAGATTGTGGGTTTTTCTATTGTTATTACTAATAGGAAAATATATATCACGTAGTGTTATCAGAGACTAAAATTTATGACCTGCATATGCTCTTTTTTTTTTTTTTTGAGACGGAATCTTGCTCTGTTGCCAGGCTGGAGTGCAGTGGCGCAGCCTCGACTCACTGCACCCTCCGCCTCCTGGGTTCAAGCAATTCTCTTGCCTCAGCCTCCTGAGTAGCTGGAATTACAGGTGTGCGCTACCACGCTTGGCTAATTTTTATATTTTTAGTAGAGATGGGATTTCACCTTGTTGGCCAAGCTTGTCTCGGACTCCTAACCTCAAGTCATCCGCCTGCCTCAGCCTCCCAAAGTGCTGGGATTATAGGCGTGAGCCACCGCCTCTGGCCCTGTATCTGCTCTTAATGCTGCTTTGTTCTTAATCACTGTGCAGGTAAATGATTTCAACTTTCTGAACTTCAGCAGGTTCCTGAGCTATAAAATAGTAGACAGGTAGCTATTCTGAGGAGCTGTTTGCAAAGAGCAGCAGAGAAATGGCATAGTGGCTGGAGGGAGCACTGGGGTCCAGGAAGGGTCTTCAACAGAATAGGAGAGAATGTTTGTTTGCTGATTGAAATAATGAGTGGGGAGTTGGTTTGGTTTGGGGAACCATTGTTGGAGACTGTGTTTAAGAAGGTGAGAGACAGGGATCTGGCACACGGGAGCCCCAAGTTTGTCCCTTGTCACAGGTGGAAAGGCAGAGATGGTGCCTGTGAAGCTGGCAGCTTGGCAGATGTGATGGGAACGAAGAACAACACTGGAAATTTTACACAAATGGTCATTTTAAAGATCAAAAGCAAATCTAAATACTCTACAAAGAAGTTTAAAATAAAGCAAATTTTATTCATTCGAAGTATTCTCACAGCCAATAGGATGTCATTGTTTTTTGGTTTTCGTTTTACACGAAGACATTCTTACATTTTAAGGGTATGTGTAAGTGCTGTTCATATGTCTTTTTCTGAAATACACATTGGCTTCAAGTTTCACCATCTCTTTTCTAAGGAAAGATGAAAAACTTTGATAATGTATTTAGTGTATTTTAAAAAGGACTGATTTTTACCTCGCATAGAGAAGTCATGGGAAGATGGCTGCCCCACTGTATGGGCTGATACAGATGCGTGTGAAGAGGCAAAGTATCATTGACTCAAACCCTCCAAATTGGATTACATGTACGTATTTCAGCTTCCTCAACAAGTGGATTCTGATGGCTTAGATTTATGTTCATTAACAGTAAATCAAAGCAAACCATTTATTGTAGGATTGAAAAGGAGTTAAGTAATTGTTATAACCAAATTCTACCAATCCACATATGAGGAAATTGAGACTGAAATACTTTACCTGAGTTGCCCAACGGGATGTGTGCAATAGAGTTGGGTAGCAGAGATGGGTTTAGGACCCAAATCTTCTGACTTCTACTCTGTGATTTGCCTACTATAATTTAGTTCTGTTTGTTTCACAAGCTTCTAAAGTGTTCTTCTAAAGTGACCGGATGCATACACACAAAACAATTAAGGAATTGCATACTAACGTACTAAAGTATTACATTTGAAGTAAGTGCACTGGAGATTCGGAGAAGGAACATATGCCTGTTGGTTGGCATAATCTAGGGAGAAAATACTAAAGCTATAGTAGTTGTAGTAAAAATAATAAGTAGCTAACATTTAGTCATTATATCCCTAGTACCTAGCATAGTACCTATACATGTATGTATAAATATGTATGGAATTTAAATTTGGGTACCAACCATGTGCCAGGCATTGTGCTTTACATCCATTAGCTCATTTAGTTCTCAGAGCAACCCTAATGAAAAATCCATAAGCATTGTTCCCATTTTACAAATGAGAACACTGAGGCCCAGAAAAATCAAATATCTTGCCTAGGGCCATAAAACTAGTAAGTGGCAGAGCTGGAATTAAAACCTGTACTGGCTAACCCCAGGGCCCGTGGTATGAACCACTATGGTATATGAGCAGCTCTGAATTAAATCCTATACTGGCCAACCCCGGAGCCCATGGTATGAACCACTGTGCTGTATGACCAGCTGTGGACTTCAGAGTGTTGGGTAAGATTGATGTAAATAGCGAAAGGTCTGTGCATACCAAAGGAGAGAAGCAGCTTAAACAAAGGCATTAAGTGAAAGTGACCGTGGTGTATCTGTATCATACATCTGGTGGAACCAAGTAAAAAGAATACAGAGAAATCCATCTGAGAGACTGTTGACATCCCTTCTGTTCCTGTCTTTCTTGCCTATAAGCATTCCTCAGTTATGGGTACTAGTAGCAGCCGAGAAAGATTCCAAGGGAAGTAGTTTTATCTTCCACCCTCTATGTCAAGATTGGTAGATCTTCATCTGATGATTGACAACATTTAAAATAGTAAATCTGTGTATAATATCACTTCCTGAAGTTACGCTACACAGTCAAATTCTTTGAACAGAATTTTAAGTGGCTGATTCAAAATCTGTTACATCTGGGTATTCAAATGTAGCCCTGACAACATAATTAAGGATAATTTTATTCATCCGCTTTGCTGAAAGTTCAGGAAGCTCTGGACAGATGGTCAGCTCACTCCCCTAAATCCCTTTTGTTTATCGAGTCTGTCAAAACCCTAAGAATGTGAGTCTTATTATTGCAATGGAACATTTTCGAGATAAACAGTAGCTCACCAAAAAAACAAGGGAAATTTTTATTTTTCAAATCCCCAATTAACTGGCTTAGTTTTGTGTAATTGTAATTGCATGTTTACTTTCTCCGAAGCTAGAATAAATCTTTACTCCCTGAAACAAACTGAACGTAGGAGGCACATTTTAGCTTGTTTATAAACACTGCATTTTCACACTTTAAAGACTATTTTACTAGTAGGTCCTAATTTATTGTTACTTATGATCTGGTATTGTGTGTCCACACTGCTGATAACTTGAGTGTTTGTGAATCTGACATGCATGCTGATTAGCTGGTTCAAGCCCTTTGTTGGTCACACTCCAATGTTTTTGAAAGTGTTAATATCACAAACACTGGTAGCAGCAGTAAAAAACAAGGAGGAAGTAAAATCACTTCAAAGAGAACCTTTTCCTTTTTAAAACTATTCTAAACATTTGGATTGTGAGTCATGGTGCCGGAAAGATAGAAACTCCTCCACCTTGGGAGTTTGTTTGTTTTCCACATTACAGTAATAGGATGTACAGGACATTTGAAAATATAAAAAGTCATTTTAGTTGATGAAATTTTTTATTATTTTACTGGGATTTAGTTAGTGGAAATTTAAAATTTGAAACAGGGGCCGGGCGCGGTGGCTCAAGCCTGTAATCCCAGCACTTTGGGAGGCCGAGACGGGCGGATCACGAGGTCACGAGATCGAGACCATCCTGGCTAACACTGTGAAACCCCGTCTCTACTAAAAAATACAAAAAACTAGCCGGGCGTGGTGGCTGGCGCCTGTAGTCCCAGCTACTCCGGAGGCTGAGGCAGGAGAATGGCGTAAACCCGGGAGGCGGAGCTTGCAGTGAGCCGAGATCCGGCCACTGCACTCTAGCCTGGGCAACTGAGCAAGACTCTGTCTCAAAAAAAAAAAAAAAAATTTGAAACAGGGCAAAACTTTTTTTATGGGCTAGAGAAAAGTTCTAAATTTCTTTAGATCTCTTAACAAGGTCTGCCTTAGGAGGTTTTTGTAGAAATGAGCTAATCTTAGTGCATTGTCAGTGGGGCTTGTTTTAGTTCATTCATTTGTTGACTCGTTCATCCATTCATTTGTTAACATTCATTCATTAAAAAGTATTTGTTGAATGTCTTAGGTGTGTAAATCAGCATGCCAAGTCCCAAGGTATGCAAAGTTAAATAAGACAAATTCCCCACTTCCCAACCTCCTGACCTAGGAGGGAAGGTCTGAAATATACGCAAGTACAAGGTAGCAGAGAAGCTACTTTGGCATCCTCGGGAAGGGAGGGATGAGTGAACATCTGAATCATTTGAGAGCAGTCCGTGGACCCTGTGGGGTGCTGGTCTTGGGAGAGATAAATTGATTCAATCATCCTCTCCTCTGTTCCATTCCCTCCAGCTCCTTTCTATTATATATTTTCTCTTTTTCTCATTATACTTGGACCTTTCTCACTTTTTTCTGTCTTCTTTCTCAAATCCTCTTCTTCCCATTTACCTCTCTGTGGTCCACATCTCACTCATTTCCGATCCACAGTTTTTACTTCTCTCCTCTCCTTTTTTGCGGGGGGTGGGGAGGGGGCTAGTATCTCTGTTTGATTTTGAGAAGATTAATAGTTCTGCTAAAAATATTTCAAAAGCATTTTAAAAGCTGCCCAGCCCTGGGGGGTGATCTTTCTGTGGGCTAATTAAGAGTGGAAGTGAAGAAGGGGAGAAGAAAAAAGACAGATGGTGGGAAGAGTGGGAGGGGAGGAGCGGCAAAAACTACTTTCCCCGAACACCTCCTTTTTCTTTCTCATAAGATCCTCCCCTCTCTCTTTTTCTTTGGCTTTTTTTTTTTTTTTTTCTGATGGAGGAGGGATAGACCTCACTGGGAACAGAATGGGAAGACCTACAGAGGTTGCATTAAGCAGACTTCCCTGGGAGCACCAGGCTGAGCCAGAAAAGGGAAATTCTTCTAGACTTCACTTGGAGTGGCCAAAGGCTAATTATAACTTTCGCTTCCAGTTGACTGAACCCTTATTTTATATGTAGTGCTAGGCTAAGGGTTCGTATGCATTTTTGTTGTTTGATCCTCACAGAAAGCCCGGGGTAGCAGAATCAGTATTTATATTTTGCATAAAAGGAAAGAGGCTCAGAGAGATGGAGCAACTTGCTGGGGAGTCCTAATCTAGTTAGGATTCCAAACCCAGCTCTGTCAGGCTAGGAAACCAATGCTCTCCTATTGTGTTGGCCTAACAGGACCCTCAAGGACCACCTATTGAGATCTTTCCTTTGTCGCCACGACCTCCTCTGCTCAGAGGTGCTCCCTGTTCCTAATCAGCAGGTGCATTTCACAGATAGCAACAGTAATTCTGCTCCCTACCTGCCAGCTTCTTTCTATAGGTTTTACATGTGGGGCTCTTTTAATCCAGGTGGCCCATGGGCAGTCCATCTTCCTTCAGAGGAGAAACTGAAGTACAGGGAGGTTAAATAAGAGGGTCACCAGCTGGTCAATAGGAGTGCTAGGATCAGCAAAGGAACCGTGTGGTCTAGATGAGAGGTTTTCCTTTTGAGAGGCATGCCTATATATATGTTTGTGTTTGAGACAGGGTCTTGCTGTGTCATCCACGCTGGAGTACAGTGGCATGATCACTTGACCTCCTGGGCTCAAGTGATCCTCCCACCTCAGCCTCCCGAGTTGCTGGGACTACAAGCACTGCCACCATGCTCAGCTAAGAGGCATGCCTCTTTTAAAAGAGGAGCTAGTGGTCCCAAAATAGCAGTGTGCTGGTGAAAGTTTAGCAACCAGCCCTTGGAGTCAGGACCCTGACTTACAGTATCTATTCCCGTGAGTGTAAATATTGTCACCTTGGCTTATTTTATCCTATCAATGTTGTCTCTGAATGCTGAGCTGGGAAGAGATGCTAACAATTAGCCCTCCAGAGTCTAAGGACTCCACCTACCACCAAAGGCATCTTTAGTTGATGGCATGTGAGGAGTCAAGCTTCCTAAGCTACTAACCAGTCTCCAACTTAATATGGCTCAGACCTACATCGCTTTTCTTGCGTGATTAGTTCCTACTGGGGACACGTTCTTTGTCACCACTAAAGGATTCTTCTCCTTCGCCCAAACTTTCCCTTTTACATCCCCACCATGTTCTGCTGTTTTCTGTTCCTTTGCCACTCCCTTCCTGACCACTACTGCCTTTCCCACTCCCTGCCACCTGCACCTTCTGACTCACTCTAGTTGAAAGCCCTGGAGGAAGGAACAAACTCTACAGCCTGACTGCTCGGTTTAATCCCAGCCTCTCCTCTACTAGCTGTGTGACCTCAGGCAAGTCACTTAACCTCTCTGTGCTTCAGCTTTCTTATCTTTAAAGTGGGAATGAGAATTATACTTCCCACATCATGTAAAAGCCCTGGTAATGTGGCCTTGTAAATGTCAGCTCCTGGTAGCATTCTTTACTCCTGGGCATCCTTGGCCATCTAAGCATCCCCAATTACTCCTTCCCTGTGCCTGTCCCAGTGGTGCCATAAGAAAGCCAGGACCCCTGGCCTCCACAACTGTCCCATTGTCCTGTTTGGTTCCCCCTGAGTAGCCATGAGGTCACCCCCAGTCTCCCCACTGTCCACAGCCGCCCACACTCCCATATGCCTCGGCCCACTCCTCTTAGTAAATGTGACAGCCTTTTTGCCTTCATGAAAACAAGATCGTGAAGAACACCGGCCTCCTTGGGGTGAGGCCGAGAGCTGCTTCACCACATTGTTACTCTTGCACCCCACTGTTTCAGGTCAGTTTACTTTATCCTGCTCCTTTCCATGTGGCCCAGGGTGAACACCTTGGTTTATGCAAGGTGTGATGATAGGAGATTTTCTTTTCTTCTTTTTAAGAGAACTTTAAAAACAACCTTATCACAGCTTGTAAAATATATTTGGTCACCCCTCCCCAAAGACTTAAAACTTTCACGTATCCTTGGCTAAATTGTGAAATGTGGACTATGTGGGACTGGCCAGGGGCAGGCTGGAATTTGTTGAAGGAACTACCTTTCATACCAATCCCCTTTTAGCTTATCTAATCACTTCATTTCATCCAGACTGAGATAGATGGCTCACATTGTTGTTGTTGTTGTTGTTTTCTATAATCCTTGAGTAAATTTTTTTTTTCCCTCCCACTAGGAAAAGAATTGAGTTTGGTCAGTCCTTTCCTAGGACTGAACGTGAAGAGTTATGCCGGCTTCCTCACCGTGAATAAGACTTACAACAGCAACCTCTTCTTCTGGTTCTTCCCGGCTCAGGTAGACGCCCAACAGAAAGAACACCAGTGTTCAAGAGCTGGCTTGCCGTTTGAGGGTAGAAATGTTAGCCTACTGACCTACAAGTCTTTAAAAAAAATCTCGTAGATTTTTTCTAAAAATAAGATTTTTTTTTTTTTTTTTCTAAAAATAAGCAAATCTGCATGGTGTTTCTATTTATGGGCAGGAAACAAATGGTTTTGGCGGGAGTGGGAAGTGTCCAGCTTCTAAATTTCTTGCAGCCTTATTTGGAGTGTTAATACTACCACCTTCTTCCTGCCACAGTCTTCTTCCTATCGTTTTGTTGTATTTTTGTTCTAAAAATACTTAGGGCGGGAATGGGTGGGGGGTGCCCAAGGGGGATAAGAAGTAGGGAGATTCCTGAAGTTAACAGGTAATGCATGGCAAAGTATGTTTCTATCTAGTCAGCCGTGGCCTTGTATGACTGCCCTGTCTGTGGACTCCTTCATGCACTCAGTACCCACTTATTGAGCATATTCTGTGCTGTGGGGCCACAGAGGAGACAGAACTGAACTCAGACAGAAGAAGAGTGGGAGGATTGCTGATGTAGAAAGGTTTCTGGCAGGAAAGGCCATCACTTTCCCAGATCTCTATAGACAGAGGTTGGTATGCTTTTCTACTTCACCAATCCTATGTCATTCACCTCTAAATCATGCCTTTCTTCTGTATGAACAAGACACTTTTAGCTTAGGGGTGCTGTTGCAGGTATTGGTAGAAGTGCTGAGATGCATAAACAAATCTTATTCCACTGCAGCGTAATTTTCTATTTTCATCCTCCAAATTGGATTTGTTTTAGAGGCTAGAGAAAGCAAAGAAAAAGCTATCCCTATGGAGGGTGTTGTTTATATTTGCATTGATTTGCATATAGCTGGGTTGCATCTATAGTAACTGAGTAAATTGCTTAATCCAGGGTTGTTTTCAAGTTTCATTGTTTCTCTTGGTACTATTGAGTTATTTTTTCTTGACGTTTCTTTCCTGCTTTCTCAACTACATGGCCTCTTGACATAGTTCACCCCAGAGCAGCCTGTGGTGGGATGTGGTCAGGTTGGGGCATGTCAGAAATGGTGAAGAATTCCAGATCCTTTGTGGTTGGGCTCACAGTAGCCGTCAGCCTGTCTTCTCTAGAAGGGTTTCTTGGACCCTAGAGAGGGCTTTTTCTTTCTTCGTCATTGTTCCTGTTGAGTGAGGCAAGCGAGATGCCTAGAGCGTCAGATGTAAGGAGACACTCACCCTGAGGGTCATACAAGTGCAAGGTCAGCACTGGAGCCTGAGCACCCTCCAGTCTCTTGCTGGTGCCTCCCATGGGTAGAGCCCAACTGGGAGCCGGGTGGAGTTGGGTTGTTTAGCCCACAGAGGTCTGCCTAACAGGGCACAGAGCAGGATGGAGGAGGGTGGATAACAGGCCTTCAGTCTCTTAAACTTTATGCCTTTCAGAAACATTCTGTGTGTGTGCATTTTATATATCATATCTATTGATGCCATTGAATGCAGTCATTTATCTGCAGTAACCTGTTTACATTAGTTTTCTCTTGCTGCTATAACAAATTGCCACAAACTTAGTGTCTTAAAACAACGCACATTTTATTTCACAATTCTGCAGGTCAGAAGTCTGACATGGGTCTCCCTGGGCTGAAATCAAGGACCAGTAGGGTTGTGGTACTTCTGGAGGCTCTAAGGGAGAATCTCTTTTCTTGCCTCTTGCAGTGCCTAGAGGCTGTTCACGTTCCTTGGCTCATGGTCCCTTTCTCCAGCTTCAAAGCCTACAAAGGCAGCCTGAATCCTTCTCACATCACATAATCTCCATGGTCATGTTTCCTTCTCTGACTCTTGTCTTCTACCTCTGTCTTCTAAAAGGACTCTTATGATGACATTTGGGTCACCTGGATAATCCAGGATAATCTCCCCATTTTAAGGCCAGTTGATTAGCAACTTTAATTCCATCTACGACCTGAATTCTCTTTTGCCCTGTAACCTAACATATTCTAGGAATTAAGACACAAACATCTTTAGGGAGTTGTTATTCTGCACAAAATGGATACTTGAAAATTTGCCTAGATTATTGAGTCTCAATATGTTTTATCTCAGGGATTCTTACATGTTATTGCATACAAGAATTCTCTGACTTCCCCCAGAGATTCTGACTTGTAAATTGGCAGAGGCCAGCAGGTTACAGAATTACCAAGTGAACCATGCTCTGTGAAACCATCACTCCAGCCTATGGGCCACTACCCTCTGCCTGAAGCTCCTGGCTGGAAAGTGACCAACACACTTTTTACCAGAAAGAAATGCCTAGAGCAGCCAAATCCAGACAGAGGTGATATGTTGCCCATGTTGAGGGTTGAAATGAGGGAAGTGAAGAAACCAATGCAGCCTGTGGAGGTCGGCTTCCCTAATCCAGCTTGCGGATTCTCTAAGACCTGTTAGGACTGCTTCCCCATCTTCTTTCCACTCTCGTCCTCCTCCCCCACTCTAGCTGGAAAATACCAATTCCTTACTTTCTCTTCTGCTTTGTTACTTGTTTATGACACCAGTCAGTTCCTTATTACCTTCTGAATGTTGTCTTCTTTGGTAATGATCCAGATTTGTAAAAACAGGAACTAAGGGTGAGAGAAGAGATCAGATGGAAACAAAGCAAAAACCCAGTTTTTTTCTTTCTCAGGTTGCCTCTGGTCAGGTGAACAGCTGTGTCTAGAATGTAGGTGGTGCTTTGGCACCATAAACCTGTTCAGGGAAAGGAGTTTAGTTTGCATGCTCTACTGGTTGCCAGATTGAGGTCTGAAAACCCCCTTCATTAAACAATGACTGGACTGCTGGGTTTCGTTTTTTCCCCTTAATTAAATGAAAACCTAGCTGTGCATCCCCTGACCAGGTTATGTTCTTTTGAGTCCAGTACTGTAGCCACAAACACAACCTAAGATGATCCCAGGAGACACAACGGGAAAGAATGCCTTTAAGTACATAGTGTTCTAGTGAAAGTGATAGATGAAGCTTCAGGACAAGAAGGGCAGAGATGAAAAAACGGTATCCACAGATGGGTACCACCATGTGGCAGCCAAGATAGATTGTTCCAAGACCTCTTACCAGGAAGCCCACATGCAGAGCCAGATAGCTGAGGCTTCTGGCTATAAATTTTGGAGTCACACCAGTTTGGGTGAAGGAGATAAAGCAGGTGTGACAAGAAGAAGCAGTGGTCACTGAGATGGGGGGAGTCCTTTGTATTTGGCAGAGATATCAGTTCATTGTCTATCATAGGGAAGCAGCTGATATTGTCACCAGGGAGAAATGACCCCTTTAAAAAACTGAAGGTAGAGAAAATAAGAGATCCAGGAAGGATGCCACACTTGTCATATCCTCCGAGTGTTTTTTGGGGGGGATGCTGTTTCTCAAATTAGTTTTGTTTTCCTGTTATTGCTCTGAGACTGCCCTGTTATTGTATACAAATCAGAACAGAATAAATTCCAGAACTTGAAATTGGTGTGTGGTGGGAATACAACCTGCAAGAGAAAGGAGTAGGCATTTTGTATGGTATAAAAAATATAAGGAAACCAGCAGAAATGTAGCAGTTATAGCTACTGGTAATTGAACACTGACTATGTGCTAGGCACTGTGCATTTTCTTATCTAATCCTTACCTGAACCCCATGAGAAGGCATTGTTATCCTCATTTTATAGATGAAGAGATTAAATAATCAGCCCCGAGTTACTCAACTAGAAATTGGCAGAACTGGAATGTAAAATTAGGCCTCTGATGTGGAAATCCTTGATCTTGGCCGTCATGTGTTAGATCTAGAGAAAACGAGCCGTGGAAGGCACTTGAGTATAGTGGCTGAAAGTACAGTCTCTTCAGTAAGTCAGGCTTGGATAGAAATATTGGCTTCACTACTTATGCTAAAGGTGACCTTGGGGACATTTCTTAGTGTCTCTGAGCACTGGTTTCCTCATTTTAAAATGGGGATCAGAATACCTACTTGGCAATGGTTTTGAGACAGAAGAGATAATAGGGGAAAGCATTAGAGTGGTACCTAAAACATAGTAACTATAGTTGCTATTGTCATTATTTCATTATGATTATGATTATTATGGTTATTATTACTTTTTAAATTATTAACACAAATAATGTCAAGAACTAAGCGGGTCACAATTTGAGGGGTTAAAGATGACAGCAAATAGAGGGAAATTCTGAATTAGAAGAACCTGAACCCCAGCCATCAAGGTGGATTCATTGCTACCAGGTCAGGAAATTACTAAGTGAAACTGGGATTTTTCTCACTGAAGAAGATAAAAAAGACATAGAGATTATTACTCTTTAAAGTCAGCATCCTTCTCATTGGAAAAAAAAATTGCTAGTATGACTTTATCTTATAGATATAGGAACATAGATAATTCATTGGACACATTTAGCCAAAACCTTCAGATCAGTTACCTCAAATGCCGTGGAGCCAAAACCTGGGGCATTTAGAGTCAGGCCTAGGCCTCTTTACAGAGAACCCCACCTTGATTCTCAGGCCAAGAGGAAAGGCCCAGATTCCTGGATTTGAGAATCTAGTGTCTGTGAAAGATCAGGATCACATTGGTGAGGCCCGTGAGGTGCCGGGGCAACCTGTGAGAAGGACTCCCGCTCAGGATCCTACAGGCTGGGCCCTGCTGAATCAGATACTAGGATGATCAGATAGCACAATACCCTTGAATCAGCAGTCAATTGGAGGGAAAATGAACCACTCTAATGCTCCTGGTCCAAAACAAAAGGTGTTCTCTCTGGCAGTAGAAGAGCATGTCCCAAAAGTGCCTGGAAGCCAACAGAACAGCCTATCCTCGGGGTTAAGGCGTGGAATCAGGCCCCACCATACTTCAGCATGGTGCCATGTACACTCCCTCATCTGCACATCTGAACTTCTCCGGTAACACAGTTAATGTGGAAGAGGATAGGAATTCCCAAATGTGCTACTGCTCATCAGAAATACCTGGGGAGCTTTGGAAATATGA